AGGATGGGGCCTCCAGCCCCAGTACTCTGTTTTCAAAAGCCAGGTCTTCTGAGGGTCACCATGATTACATGCTGGAGGGCTGGGGCAGGGAAAGGGGACCAGGGGGTTGCTTCATCTGCTTAGGAACTAGGAAATGTTTCCAAGGTTGAATGGGGGCAGGGGCATGGATGAGATGACCTTTTGTGCATTCCTTGTCCCTGGCCCTGAGACATCTTGGGTTCCTGTTTCCCCGCCAGCTTGCCTAGGGCACCCTCTCTGCTGGTTGCAATCCTATCTGTCCATCAAGTTCAAAGACCCTCCGTCCTACAGGAAGTCCCTTGACCATCCCCAGAAGGCTTTTTCCTCCCTCCTCCAAGTGCCCTGAAGCCTGGCACCAGTTTGCCTTTGCGCAGGGGGTTCCTTTGTCACGAATGCAAACGTCATCTGCCCAGCTAGATGGTCAGCTCCCGAAGGGAGCCATGGGTTCAGCATCCAGGTGAGACGCGGCACCTGGTGCAGGCCCCACACATGCAGTGCTCTACTAGTGCTCCCTGATGAGGACCTGGGAGGACACATCCAGTCTTAGGAGTGGAAAGGAGCAGAAGGTGCTGATGGCCCCCAGCAGGGTGACCAAGGACAAAGAGCTGCTGTTCCAAACAGCTTTTCTGCCCCTTATCCTGCCTCCCACCCAAGAGGCTGGGCACGGAGGCTGGGCAGTGCCAGGGCCATGCTGGGCACAGCCATAGTGTCTGCAGTGGGGAGTGGGAGCAGGGCTCGTGCTCTACCTGGGAGAGGGACATACCTTGGCCGGGTCAACTGCCTCAGAGTGTCCAGGGCGCCCTCAGGTTGGGGAAGCTCCTGGGCTCCCCCCGCACAGCCTGGGATGGAGTCGGGTTCGTGTACTCACCGAGAGGCCAGGCTTAGGGAAGTCAGCTGACTCACCCCGGGCCTGCGGCTGGGGAGTGGCTGAGGCCGAGGCTCTTCCCCGCTCTGGGGGCACCAGGGAGTAGTGCTGGCTCAGGCAGGTGACGGGACTCTCCTCTTTCTGAGCAGGTCTGGTGGCAGCCTTCAAGGTTGCCACACCGTATTCCCTGTATGTGTGTCCGGAGGGGCAGAACGTCACCCTCACCTGCAAGCTCTTGGGCCCTGTGGCCAAAGGACATGACGTGACCTTCTACAAGACATGGTACCGCAGCTCGCGGGGTGAGGTGCAGGTCTGCTCGGAGCGCCAGCCCATCCGCAACCTCACGTTCCAGGACCTTCACCTGCACCACGGAGGCCACCAGGCCGCCAACACCAGCCAGGACCTGGCCCAGCGCCACGGGCTGGAGTCCGCCTCCGACCACCACGGCAACTTCTCCATCACCATGCGCAACCTGACCCCACTGGACGGCGGCCTCTACTGCTGCCTGGTGGTGGAGATCAGGCACCACCACTCGGAGCACAGGGTCCACGGGGCCATGGAGCTGCAGGTGCAGACAGGTGAGGGTGTCCTGCGTGTGACAGCCTGGGAGCACAAGGGGCCGCGTGTCTGATGGTGTGACTGTGTGTGACGCTGTGCGGGGTGGTATGTAAGGCTGTATGGGTGACACTGGCACTCCAGAGAGTGTGTGTGCGAGACGGGGTGGCCGTGGGCGTGTGGAGTGCGGGCGTGTGGTTAGCCGGTGTGATGGAGGAGGAGGGCGTACGTGGCTCCGTTTGTGACAGTGGAACTTTTTAATGTGCAAGGCTGCACGTACCTGGGCTGGGAGTGTGACTGTGTGTGACTGTGTGACTGTGCTAATGATGACGCCATGGCTGTGGCAGGTATGGGCAACAGCGGGACCAATGCACACCCTGGGGTGCGAGTCGGTAGATGGCTGTATGGCTTTCAGGGAATACGTGTGTGTGTGTCTGTCCAGGAGAGAATGCAAAGGCTGGTGGGAAAGGAAAGGCGGGTAGAGGTGTGGGCGCCAGCAGGCATCCACATGCCCCTGGGGGAGGCATGAGAACAGGCATGGTGAGAACATGCCAGGGTATGTGTGTGCGCGTGCGTGTGTGCGCGTGCGTGTGTGCATACGTGTGCAGGCTCCAGACGGGCCAATACTGCCTAGTGACGGCATGAGTACCTGTGACGGGAGGGGGACACTGGCCTGGACAGGCCTCCCTGTTCTCCTGGGCCTGACGCCCACCTGACGGCCCTTCTCTTTGCTCCCGCAGGCAAAGATGCACCGTCCAAATGCATCGCGTACCCATCCTCCCCCCAGGAGAGTGAAAGTAAGGGACCTCCCTCTTGCCCCTGTTGGGCTCTCTGCTCTCCTCTGTCCTCATCCTGGACCCAGACCCTGTTCTGAACTCTGGCCTCATCACCCCAAAGCCCTGGGCCCCTGTTCTCCTCCTCTGCTGCCCGTCCCTTTTGCTTCCTCCTTCCTGCAAACCCTCAAACCCATTCCCCTTCCACCTGGCTCTAGAGTCTCTGCTCCTGAGTCCCTGCAGGGGCTGCACCCTGGCAGTGCCCGTTGGCCAGGGGAAGGGCCCCGTGGCAGGTTCTGGGTGACACATGCTGCTGAGTGCCGCCCTCTCAACTGGGGAAGGTTGGGGGACTGTGGGAGTCCTCTTGCCTTAGGATTCAACTACTCAAAGTTTCCTTGTTGTGCGAGTGAGGTAGGGAGGGGGGCAGGCTCAGGAAGGGGAAGAGAACTACCTTTCCCGAGCTCCTACTGGGTGCCAGGCATTGTGCGAAGACCTTTTAAGCATTACTATCTCAGGGGATTCTTACAAGAACTCCACGAAGCAGGCGTCACCGTCTTCACTCTGTGAAACAGAGGCCCAGAGAGATGGCACAACTTGCCCAAACTCGCACCGCCGAGAGCAGCACAGCTGGGATTTGGTGGCAGCCCTCTTAGCTCTGCTCATTCACCTTCTTCCCAGCTTGGGGGAGGGGACAGGAGAGGACTGGGTGTGCAGCGCAGTGGGTGCGGCCGGGCCACTGGTGTTTGCCCAGAGGTGTCCTACCGGGCAAGGGGGCACTGCTCCAAGGGTGCCCGGGCACTCAGTCTTAGGGACGCCTCCCTCTTCTGAGAGGAGGTGGTCGTGGCTTCCACATCCCTCTGCCCACCCAGGCTGTGCCGGCGTCTGGTGTGCACCGGCCCCTGCCAAGGCCCTGGAGATGCAGAAGTGTCCAGGAGGACGTGCCCAAGAGCCTAAGCCGAAAGCGGGGCAGCTAAACTGCAGCCCCCGGCCAAGCTCACAGGCTGCGGCGGCTTTTCACTCACACTACTGCTTTTTCAGACCAACAGACAGACTGGCCAGGAGCAAAATAAGAATGTGCGTTTTGGTGTGAGCCACCACATGGGACTAAGAAGGCCTTCGGTTCAGGCCCCTGTCCCTGCATGCTGCAGAGCCAGGTGTCGCCTCACCCAGCCACCGCCACTGTCCTCACTTCCTCTCCGGGCGGCTCCCTGCTGAGGGTGGAGAGAGGACTCAGAGCAGCCCCTTCCCTCCCACGCAGTGGGCTCGTGACTGTGTGCGCACACGCGTGCCCGTGTAGGGGACGGGGCAGCCCACCCGGTGACGTTCACTTCCCCAGGGCTCCTTCCACTCTGAGCAACCACCGCAGTCCCACAGCTTCCTCCATGAGCTCTCGCAGGGCTGCAAGGCCCTGAGGGACCGTCCCCTCTGCCACCACCCCCACGTCACAAGGTGGGGAAACCAAGGTTCAGCGGGTGACGGGACTTGCTCCTGGCCTCTCAGAGCCAGAACGCCTGACTTTGTGTGCACACCTGCCTAGGTGCTGCGTCGCCTTCCCCTGGCAGCACCAGCTTCCCGAAAATTATGCTTTCAGTCTTGGGGACAGAGACAGAGATGTCAGAGGGGAGGATGCCAGGGAGACCAGGGGCAAAATGGAGAGGGAGTGGAGCTGTAGTTCATTTCTCCTGATCTAGACCCTAGAGCAGCAGCTGCTGGAATTCAGGGGGAAAAAAGCCCCTGGGGACTTCCAGGAGTCACCCTCGGGCTGGTAAGAGCCCGAGGGTGATGTGGAAACCGTGAACCTGGCTGTCAAGAGTGGGCCAGGCACCTCTGCCAGGCACCTCTGCCCTTGGGTGTTGACATTTTCGTCCCTCTCTCTCTGCATGCATCAGGGATGCAAAGCCTTGCTCTGGCCCTCACTCCCTCGAGCCACTGTCTGTAGCAGATTGGCTGCTTGAGGACCAAAGGGACATCCTTGCTTCTGTCCCAGCGGTTGAGGGCAGGGGATGGCTTCGATGACCTCTCAAGTTCCCTTCCAAACTCTTGGTTCTAACAGTCTGGCGACTTGGCACTGTGGCAGACACGGTCCCACATGAGGAGAAACTCGGATGTACTTTTGGTTGGGTGTGGGGGCTTTGGACAGCACGTGTCTTCTCTGGGTACCGTTTCCCTACTAAGAATGGGAGCAAGTGTGTCCCTTTTCTTCTAACAGGGCGGCATTCAGTGTTATCTAAGGGGCTGAATCAGGGATCAGAAGCTCTTATGTCCTTGGGGCCTAAGAGCTGGTGAGTAAGACAGTAGGGAGGGGTGGGGACTGTGGCGAGTCCCCAGCCGCCAGTCTAAGGGCACTGTCGCCTGCTGTGTCAGCATGGGGGCCCAGGGTTTCCAGAGCCACTAAATCTTCAAGCAAAGCCAGAAGCCAGATTTTACGTGTACTCTCTTAATCATAAAATGTTGGCAACTAAAAAAAAAAAAGTACTATGTGGGGCATAGTTGCAACCTGAGTCCCTTCTAGTGAAGGCCATGTGGTGGAGTGGTCAGGAGCACAGATCTGGAATCAGCCAAGCTGTTAACCTCTCTGCGCCCTCCTTTTCTTATATGTAAGATGGGGATGATTATAAGTACTTGCTTTCCAGGCTTGTTATGAGGCTAAAATGAGGCACTTATGCCAAGCGCTGAGGACCACGCCTGGCACAGAGTACACGCTGTGTAAGTGTTGGCTATTATTTCTTCTGGTTGCACAATTCCAGGCCTGACTTTCCAAGTCGACTCATCCATTCCCCTGTGCCAAGGCAGGATGGCAAGTGGATGGTAGCAGACTGTGGACATGGTCCTGTTTTCTAACAGTTTTAGAAATACTTGCCCGGTGGCCAGTGTCACTGTGCTTAGTGGGCCCAGGGCTGGCTGCTGGGTGTTGCTGTCTACTATTCTTACCTTTGGAAAGGCCCCTCTGACAGGTGCTCTGCAGCCAGCCGTGTTACCCAATCAGTTTAATGATGCTTCTGGCCAAGATGTTCTTTGAGTTTTCCTTCTCTAAGTTCGGCCCAAGCCTCTTAATGTTATCCTTGGGAAGTAGGAGGGTACCGGACTATGAAATGGCGTGAAAGTCCAAGTCAGCCTGAGGTGGGGGCAGGTAACTGGGGAAGTTGGTGCTGCATTGCCAAGGGGCTGTCGTTTTTCACTGAGCCCAGGGAAGGGGGCTGGGCAGCTCATCTCCCCACGCAGGATGTGCTGTCTGCTTTCGCCTGCCTCCACCCTGGGAAACCAGTCAGCCCTGGCCTCAGCAGCCAAACTTCCTCCTCCACATATGCCCACAGGGTACCTGGCAGGCCCTGGACAATGATGGAGCAGACTGGGCCCTCCCATCCCACCCTGCCCTATAAGGGCCTGGCACACTCCTCAGTGTGGTGTTGGCAGCTGCCTCTGCCAGCGCCCGATCACCTTCCCAGGATAAGTCTGGCTCTGGACGGTAACCAAGAAGCCATTACCTGCCTCCAGTGGCTGCCAGCCCAGGCACTGGCCATGCTTGGGGCAAGGAGTGGGGAGGCTGGGCTCTGCAGAGATCCCCGTGGCTTCAGAGGGCAGTTGTCCCCACAGACTTGACGCCAAACCTCTGCCCCTCGCCCCAGCCTCAACTCTCAGCCCAGGCTGTACGGAAGCCTCAGGCTCTCGAAGTGAAACCATGTCCCTAGAGGGGCCACAGCGGGGGAATCTCCACCTGGGGACAAGAGTTAGGCAGGGAGGTCTGGCCAAGCCCCCACGGCAGGCAGGGAGCAGGGAGCAGGGAGCAGTGAGCACCTGTCGAACCTCACAGAACGTTGCTTAGCAACAGTCCAGGGGAGACCTGCTGTGATGACAAGAAAAGAGCGTTTGCAACTGGCTCCTCAGATGCTGTCCACAATAAGGCTCTTTGATGGGGGTTTCGAAATAAATACTGAACCGTCTGAGTTATAGAACGTCTTTACCTTCCATATTCCACATCAAAATGCAGCCTCGCTAAGATCTGCAGGGAACCTGCTGTCACGCCGAGCGGAACTTGCTTTGTAATTAGTGTAGCAACCGGTCCTGCACCAGTGGGTACTTGTAAAGTGCCTGAAAACAGTTTGTTCTCTTCTGCGGTCTGAACAACCCCCCTGAAAACTTGTTTACACCATCGGCTTGTAAAGCAACACAAAAACGGCCTTTATTCCCAAACAAGTAGTGCAAAGGCAACATTTAGACCACAGCCCATCCGCTTCCCAGAGCTTTCTGGGGCTAAGTTGACACTGTGACCAGGTATCCCAGCCCATCTTTTGGCCCGGGGAAGGGGTAAAATGGGGAAGGAAATGCGTTTATGCTGGTTGTGGCCTGAGGGCACTTCTGTTCCCAGCTAAACTTCTGCAGTCAGCAGATGGACTGAAATAAATCAAACCTCCCCACGCTGCTGGGATTATGAAGCGGTACAACCTTTTTGGAGGGCAATTTAGCAATAGCCTAAAAGAAAACGCACATACTTTTTGGCTCGGAGCTTCGAGGTCTAGAAATTTATGCACAGATGTACTTGCCCCAGTGAGCAAAGATGGGTGCACGCGGGGTTCACGGCTATGTTATTCGTTATGTCGGAAGTAGAAGCAGACGTATCTACCAGTAGGGATCTGTTGCAATAAATTTGGGGCGAGCTGTGTGAAAAAGCCCTGAGCAGAATGAGTAGGTCGCTGTGCTGGTACAGAACGATGTCCACGCTCTGCTCAGTGGGAAAAGCCATCGTCACGTGATCCCACATCTGCTGTACGGGCAGGGAACGTGTCTACACCACTGCACAAGGAGCTGCGGACAGTGACTATGCGTCCAGGGGAGGGGGAGACTTTCGAATATTTTTAAAATTTGTTATGTTTAACTTTTTTATAAAGGAGTAAGTTTAAAATTTAAAAAATGTCAGACAAGGATTCATGTTTCTCTAGTTCTCACTATAAGTTTTTTTCCCATGTCCTGTGTGGCGAGATCAAGGGGGGGGTTCCAGAAGCCTCACCCCAGAGCTAAGGGGTCTCTGGGTTGAGTTGAGGCTTTTTATTTATTATGGTAAAACCTATATAACACAAAACTTGCCATTTTAGTAATTTTAAGTGTGCAATTCAGTAGCATTAATTACACTCACAATGTTATGCAACCATCACTGCTATCTATTTCCAAAACTTTTTCATCACTTGGGCTTCTTTTGACCTTGAACTCTGTGGCATGGGGTCTGCGGAGGGCCTGATCCCTCTTTTCCGGGTGGTCCAGCTGTCCCTGTCCCTTGTGGGCCGGGATGAGGACTCTGTCTCCTCTCCTCCCTGGAGCTGCCTCAGCTGTCAGCAATAGGTCTCCTTTCTGTGCTCTGGGCCCACTTAGGGGATGGGCATGGGGCTCTCTTTGAAAGGAGGTCCCAGACCTTCCATGCTTCTGCAGGCCACTGAGGGTCTGGCTTTGGGGCCCTGGGTAAAGGTGGGTGCCCCCGCTGCTTGGCCTTCCCTCTCTGGGCCTCAGTTTCCCCTTGGGAGGAGCAGTGGGCATGGGCTTCACCTTGGCTGCCTCTCTGCCCTTCCAGACATCACAGCTGCAGCCCTGGCGACGGGCGCCTGCATCGTGGGAATCCTTTGCCTCCCCCTCATCCTGCTCCTGGTCTACAAGCAAAGGCAGGCGGCCTCCAACCGCCGTGAGTAGCCCTGCCTGTGTGGAGTGGGTGGGGGGTGTGCATGACCCGCCCCAGCCCCCAGCTCAGCTCCTGGGATTAGCAAAGACACGAGGCAGGCGCAGTTCCTCTCCACTGCAGAGACGGGAGCTCCTACACTCCCTGCAAGGATCTGGGTTCAGTGGCCGAGGGAACAGAAGGGAACCAGGTGTGCTATTTCTGGGGCGTGCGTGCCCGCCAGCACCTTTGACTCTCAGGCCGTGCTGGCTTGGCACTCAATAAATATCTGTGAGTGAATGAAGAATCATATGGAGTAGCTCAAATTGGTTTATAAAAATGCTGTCACTCAGAGATCTTACGGGGATCTGTTCTAAGGTATGGGTAGGCTCATTTTGTAATTAGTTGCAACTGTTGGGACAAAAATGACCCCTGGAACATCGGAAGTGGAAGGTTCCTTAGAGATAGCTTAGTTCAACCCTTTCCTTATACAGACGAGAAGCCCAAGATTGGCAGGGTTAAGTCACTAACTGAACATGACATAACTTGGTAAGAGGCAGAGCTGGGATTCGACCTCAGAGCCTTCAACTCATGCTCTTTCCAGGGAACGTAATTCCACCCTGTAATAAAACTTCATCAGCACGAGTGTCATAGCCAACAACCCCTCACTGACAGGAGTGCTGTACCGGGCACTTTGCCGACCTTGTCATATACATTTTCTCCTGTATTCCTCATCACAACTCCAAGAATTTGGTACTACCATTGTCCCCATTTTACGGATGAGCAAACTGAGGCACTACAGAGGCTAAGGAACTTGCCTAAGGAAGCACATAGTGACTGAATGGTGGTGCTGGGCTTCAAGTCATGGCCACAAATGCCATTCACCCCCCACCCCCGGGGTGACAGTGCCACTTGCCTGGCCCCTGACCCTAACTGTGAGCCTTGGTCAGTCTGAGTCCCCCGGGAGCAAACCTTTGCCCCTGTACCCCCTCCCTGGTCTCTTCCCCTCCACCTGGTTGTGGAAGGTAACTGAGGGAGGACTGCTATCACCAGGTGGCTTTTGGCTCACATCTGATTTCCTGTGGCCGGGCCCTAACAACTTGACACCCCTCCATCCCCTCATTCCTAGGGGCCAACCTGGACCCCCACAGCAGGTCACTTGGGGGCTGTGGTCACCTCACCCTTCCGTTCAGGACTCCCAGGTTCCTCTCAGAAACCCACCACGACCTCCCTACAGGAATGCCTGAGGCAGGGGTGGGGCGAGGGTTGGAACAGAAGAGGACCCAGGGCAGCCAGGCAGGGGGAGTGTGCGTTGGTGTGCTCTGTGCGGGAAGCTGGCCTGGAGGGCCTGCCCAGGGATGAGCCACACTCAGGAAAAAGAAAAAGAAACGGCTGGGAGCCCTGAGGAGGGCAGTTTGCTGGAGAGGCCAGCAGGTAGCCAGCTTTGGACCGAGCCTCAGTTTCCCCAGCTCTACAATGGGACCAACAGTCCTTACCCCAGAGCGTGGTGGAGAGGGTGAGATGCGGGAGTACGTGTCGCACACCTGCAGGTAGCCTGGCCCCCTGCAAAGCAGCCATGACTCTAGCAGATTTCAGGAACTTTCGTGTCACTTCCCCCTGTTTGTTCTGCTGTTGCTCCCCTCCCTCCCTGCCCGTTTCCCCATAGTCATTGGCAGCTCCTTAAAACGAGAAGGACCTGTGGGAGTACATGGGGTGCTCAAGAAAGAGGGAAGTTTGGGCCACTGCATCTAGCTGGTGGCCAGTTTGGGGAGTGGGGAACCCCAAGAGTGGGGCAAGGTAGCAGCAGCTTTGGGTGAGCAGCAGAAAGTGGGTGGAATGGCTGGGAAGCGATCAGGTGCTCAGACCCCTTAAGGTTCCCGTCTCATGCCACCCTGTTAGGCAACATAGGGGGTGGGACAGAGAGGACCAGGAGCTCTCCAATTAGGAACTGACCCTGGACACTCCCACCCAGTAAGTCACGGCTAAAGACCAGAATGTGGCTAATGTCCAAACAGGAAGCAGCACAGTTAGCAAATTCAGGAGCCTGGCCTTTGGTTGATAAAATTAATAAAACCCTGAGGGTCCGACACTGTACCTCAAGCCATAGGAGAAAACGCTGGCTGCCTTTGGTTTCCTGGTGGCAAACACTGTCCTACATTCTTGGAAAATGCAGACAGTTTCATTTATCAATGGTCAAAATGGGCCGCTCACTGAGACCCTACCGGCTGGACAGACATGCAGAGTGCCGCCAGACAGCCTCCCACGTGAACAGAGGTGGGGTCCAGGGCTGAGCAGGGCCCACCTGAGCTTGGCTCCCGCTCCCTGAGTGGCATCTGCCAGAGGGGCAGGGATGCTGCCTGGGGAAGCCTTCCCTCCTGTGACCGGCTTCTCTGTCTGTCCCTAGGCGCCCAGGAGCTGGTACGGATGGACAGGTAAGGCCCACGGAGACCTTCTTGAGAAAACTTGCCAGGGCCAGCTGGCAGGGAGGAGGTGTTTCTGTGCACAGGGCCCCTGTTCAGCTGCCTAGCACAGCTGGGCAGAGGAGCGTCTGCCATCTGCTGCTGTAGCCCACACATCTGTGCTGTTGGCTATTCTCCCGCCGCCCCTCGCCCAGCGGCTGAGCTCTGATTCTGCTGAGATGTGCCACACACCCTCCTTTAGGCCTCAGTGGTCAGCCTGGGCTAGGATGGGGATGGGGAGGAAGCAGCTGACCTGGGGCAGACACTGACACGTGCGAAGGAGGCCAGAGGGCCCAGCCCCAGCCCCAGCCCCAACCTGGGAGCCCTGGCTCCTCCCGGCTGGGCACCACAGGAGAAGCTGGCAGGCTGCTGCAGGCCACGAGGGCAGACACTGAAGAGACCCAGAGGGGGCAGCAGGCCGGGACGGAACAGACCGGGGGGTGTGCGTCGGTGCGCTCTGGGCAGGGAGCTGGCATGCAGCCTAGTCCAGGGGATGTGCTCAGGGGACGAGCCCCACTCAGGGACTCGGCCCCAGTACCTGCAACACCAAACCCAGAGCTTCTCTGGGGGTTTGAAGGGATGATTGTCAAGACGGGTCAAAGGAAGTCCTGTTGGCAGTCCTGCTAGCATCTCAGAGTAGGGGGGCTCTTTAGAGGTTGTCCCACTTCTAACTGGGAAGAAAAGAGAACCCCTCTCCTCAGCTCAAGAGAAGCTTTGGGACATTTAATCCTAATGCCATTAACTCTACTTACCAAAGAGAAACTTGTCCCTAAACTCCTGAGGCTGGTGTCCTGAAGCACCTTTGATGCCAGGCTTCCTGGCAGGCCGGGGCTAATGGTCAGACCGCAGGAAGGCGCTGGGGTCTGTCCTGAGGGCAGCCTTGCGGCCTCAGCTCGGGGCGGGTGGGAGAGTGCGGCCCAAGGCCTTTTCTCTGTGGGCCTGGCTCCTCCCTGCTTACAGGGCAGGATGCTGAGGCTTGGAGCTGGGGAGGGAGAGGAGGGGAGGGGAGGAGAGCTGGAGGCAGGGAGGGCAGAGCTCATACTCCGGGCAGCACAGATGACCTTCTATTCTGATTCCACGGCAGCAACACTCAAGGGATTGAAAACCCTGGCTTTGAGGCCTCCACACCCTCCCAAGGGATGCCCGAGGCCAAGCCCAGGCCCCCACTGTCCTACGTGGCCCAGCGGCAGCCTTCTGAGTCCGGGCGGCACCTGCTCTCCGAGCCCAGCACGCCGCTGTCTCCTCCGGGCCCCGGGGACGTCTTCTTCCCATCCCTGGGTAAGCATTTCCTGACCCTCGTAGCACCATGCCCTGCAAGGTCATGACCCCATGGCCTGCACGGCATCAGCCTCACTCCCCAGCCTCCCTGGGGAGTCCTCACAGCTTCAGGGTGTGGTGTGGGGGTGAGGGACAGAGGGGTCCCCTTTGACTTTGCTTCTCCTTTCTTTTGCAGAGCCTGTCCCTGACTCCCCAAACTTTGAGGCCGTCTAGACCAGCCAGGGGACAGTGGGCAGTTGTGGCTGGGTCTGGAGCAGGTGTATTTGAGCCAGGCCTGGCCCTCTGAGTGGCTTCCTTGGCCTTGGCCCTGGCTCCGTCCCTCTTGCTCTGAGTCCAGACTCTGAGACAGCCCTGATGCCCAGCCCCTCAGCCCTCCGGATGCTACAAGGGGGAAGGGGGCAGATGCCGGATGGCTCAGCCCCTGTCCCAAGGATGTTGGGGTGCTGGGATTCCCCGCAGAAACCTGAAATTCACCAGCTACAGATGCCAAATGACCTACATCCTAACCAGACTCAGAACCTCCAGCTCTGCAGCAGCCTCTCTCCACGAGCCTCGGGACCTGGCAGCCTCAATAGGACTAGACGTGCCACCCTCCCAGGCCCGAGGCACAGGGCAAGATGCGGAGGGACTCCTCCCCCCTGTGGTGACCTGGCTCCCCCATGTCACCCGAGGCTACTCGTCTGTCAGATCTACTCTTTGTACCCATGGGGGCACCGGGGCCTGTGTGCCTGGGCCTGCCCGCCCCCCGCCATCGGAGCCTTCCCCAGCTGCCTCCCACCAGCAGTTTCTCTAAAGACCTGTCAGCAGGTTAAGCCAATCCGGGGCTCCCACTGCCTGCATTCTGGTCTCCACAGTTCAGTGGCCAGAGACCCCGAAACAGGAAGTACATATTGGGGCACGGTGGCCACTGTGAGCCAATTGGCGTCTTGGGCAATCCTCGGCCAGGCCAGAGGTTGCACCACCCACCGCAAACAGCGGTGAGGGCAGGCGGGTGGGGCCTGCTGAGAAGGTGAGAGGAGGGGCTCCCTCCTCCCGCCCTCCCCGTCCCTGACTCCCACTGCTCAGCGTGGGCCATAGCAACGGTGCCACATAATGTCTTGTCCACACCGGGACACTTCTGGGTGTGAAAGGGGGGTGCTATTAAAAACGACATGGGGCAACAGGTGCAAACCCTGTGGATGGATTGTGAGAGCCGGGCTGAAACCCCCACTCTGCTTCTGAAGTGCCCAAGGCCTAGGGAACCCTCTCCCCGACCCCTGCCTTCGGCCTTCCTTTTCGGACAGTCTGTGCCTGGCCAGTCAGGTGGGAGGAGCCGGGTGGGTGTGTTCCCATATCCTGTATCCGGCATGACCTGGATTTGTTTTTATACATGTATGCAAGTGGAGTCCTTCGTGGAATTGTGACTGAAGGATTTTAAGGCATGGGAGAAGGGGGGGGTGGTCTCTGCACGCTCTAGGCTGGAAACACAGAAGGAGGTGCCTGGGAATGGGGAGGGGTGAGGCGGGCTGGGCAGACCCCCTCTAGCTTGCAGGGGGCAGGAGCCCTGGGCACTGCGGAGGGCACAGTCCCGTCTAGGCACGGGGCTTTTAGCAGCGACACCGGCTGTGCTGAGCTGGGCCTGGGGCTAGTACACAGGGCCCAGAGGGCAGGGAGAAGCCTGCCCCATTGCCGGGGGTAGGGGTGGAAAAGGGGAGCAGCTCTGGGCTGTCTGGCAGCAGTGAGGCCTGGACCTGCGGCTGGGGCCAGGGAGCCCCACCTGGACACGTGGCTCTGCTTCCAAGCTGCCTTGCTAGCCAAAGGCAGGGGTCCCGCTGTGCCTGGGCTGCGCCGCGGACCTGGGGGCCTTGAGCAGACGGTGAGCACCGGCTTCGAGATGAGACCCACACCTGAGTGGCCAGAACACTAAAACCCTCACTCCTGCTTTGTCCCTGGGGTCCCCTCTTCTACTCCATCTGCCTCCAAGGACACTCGGTGCCAGCCGCTGTAGAAAGGGGGTGCTGTTCTGACAATTCACGGGGACCCACAGGGCGGGAATTGGGAAGTGACACCTGCTCCAGGGCAGGGCCGGGCTGCCCCTAGGGTCAAAGGACAAGCTCAGGAAGAGTGTGTGCCCTGGCCCCTGGGGACGCTGGCCTGGCCCCAGCCCTCAGCTTCTGACCTCGAGGCAGAGACAACTTCTAAGAATTTAGCTGCCAGACCCCAGGCGCGGCTGCAGCATGGAGAGAGGGAGGCGGCCCGCAGCAGAACAGCCGCCACACTTCCTCCCCAGCTTCCTCCTGCACGGCCTCGGCTCTCTTCTTTGGACCCTCACAGTGAACGCGGCTCAGCTTTGTGGCTTCCTGTTTTCAGCGAAATTTACTCTGCGTTCCCGGTTCCATCTGCATCCATGCCCGTGAGCCCCACATGCGGCATGCTGGGGAGGGCAGGGTGCTGGAGCAGCCCTGCGTGTGGCCCGGGGATGGTGGTGCCTCAGATGCCAGCCCTGGTGGCGATGGGCTGGGGCGCATGGGACAGAGTTGAGAGTGGGGACGTGGTGGCCCCAGGGGGGCAGGAGGAGTGCTGGGGCCTGGAGGAGGTTTGCTTGGGAGCAGGGTGGGGCTGGGGTAGGAGGCTCCAGGTTTCTGGTCGTGTCCGAGGCCCTGGGGTGGGGGCAATCTGTGTTTTTAGGAACTAGTTCATTGTTAGGAGATCAGTCAGGAATTAGAGGCTGCCTTAACTATCTCCCGACATGCACATTTCATAGCGACTTCCTGCCTTTCTTCCCTCCAAGGGAGGGGCTGAGGCAATGGACTCTGAGGCACCATCAGGAGAAGTTTGCTGACGCAGTGGGGGCTGCTTGACACTCCCTAAAAACATGCCATGGAGGCCACTGGTGACTGCTGGTGGTCAGGCTGGCCCTGCCCGGGGAGGCTGTGGTGACAGGGGCGCTGGGTGGGCGTGCACGAGCTGTGGAACCTGCTTCTCAAAGACTCCCGCCTGGCCAGAGCTTCCCTACGCGCAGCAGCTCAGGGCCTGGGCAGAGGAGCTGATGCATGGCCTTCGTCACCGGTGCTCCGTGGTGGGGGGACTCGGGAGGATGCGGTGGGGCTGGGGCTTGCAGAGGTCCTGCCACCCACCCATCCCCACCAACTTGGGCACTGTAGTCCTGCCTCATGGAAGAGACCTTCCCGGTGGCAGCTGGAGCACTCCAGGGCTGGCCCAGCTGTGCTGGGGGCTGGGGGAACATTCACTCAGGGAGCTGCAGCGGGCAAAAGAGGAAGTGGGACTCCGACCAGGATGGTGGGTACAAAGGCCTCTTGACAAACAGACACTCACAGCCCGGCTGAGCATCTGGCCCAGCCCAGAGAGAGCACTGGCCGCCTGGCGCGTGTGCTGGGCATTCCGCGATTTGCACTGCTGCTCCTCTTACCCCACGGGCGCCATGTCTCCCTTACTGTTCTGTGAGTTCCGGAAGGGCAGGGTCCAGTAACAGTCTGGCCTTTGCACCTTGTTGCAGAGCTGGTAACTGACACACGGCTACTGCATGCTGGGCTGAAGCGAGAGGCAGAGTTCTGTTCTCCGAGCCGCTCACGACGGGCCGGCCGCCTCTGACTTCCCGGCAGTTCTAGTCCCTAGCAGCTCTGCCTGGGCCTGGCGGGACCTCCGCAACAGGCACGATGCCCTGAGCTTGTGCAGGCCAGGGGGCAGATCTTTCATTTTCTTTTGCAATTCTGATCTATTGGGTGACTTCCTGGAATATATTTAATACATCGAGAGGGATTCTGAAGTATGAACGTAGCTTACTGAGAAAGTGCTGAGATCGGCTAACAATGTCTGCCTTGGGCACAGGAGAGGGAAGTGGCAGTATGTGTCGTATCTTTGCCTTTTCTGTTGTCATATTCCGTGTCTTCCAAACCATTTTCACCTGTGCTACTACTTGTTTGAGGTTTCCCCCCGCTCCCCAACTGCCAAAAATCCTGGAAGGTTTTATTGTTCCCATTCAATGCATAGGGAAATTAAGGTTCTGAAAGGTTTGTGTCTTGTCAAAACAAGTGAATGGTGGAACTGGGACGAGAGCCTGGGTCTCCTGCTTCCCAGGTCTGTGCTCCTTCCTCGTCACTGAACTGAATGGCACCATAGGCCAGGGCTGGCTTAGCCTTCACCCTGGACTTGCCTAAGTGCATTCCAGGCCCCGGGAGATGAACCTCTGCCCACAAGTCCATGGCCCCACCTCACTCCACACCAGAAATGCTCCTATCTGTGCTCTGCCTGCCCTGCCTGGACTTCTCATGGGTCCAGAAGATCCTGCTGCTGTCGCGTAGGTGATTTCCACGTCAGCTCCTGCCACCCCCTTTTCTGCCTGGCAACTGGGAATCCACAGGACTCCTGAGACACACCGTGGCCCATGCACCCCTCGTGCTTGCATCAGGGCATGGGGAAGACAGAAACCCTCAGCCAACCACTGAGCCCCAGGGTCTCCTGGAGGAACTTAGCCAGTTGTATGTGCAGCATTTGGGCAGCTGCAGAATGCCCCTCAAGAAGCCAGGCCGAGGGAAGGGTCTGGATTGATTCGCGCTGGTCCTCCTGGGTGGAAAGCACAGGGAAAGGGCCAGGCTGGGGTTTCCTGACCGTAAGCCAGGGGAAGCAGGGTTCACAACGGCAGCAGGGCCCAAGTTTAATAAACAGAAGAGCCCGCTGCCCTCAAGACACAAGGTGGGCTGCCAAGACTATCACGGGGCTACTGCTGGGGACTCGTGTACAGAAAGGGGTACTGGAAGATTTTCTGTCCTTCTGCCTGGACAGGTGACTTTGGCAGGTCTCCGCGGCTTGAGAAGCCTGGCCCTGTTATCTGGGGCTGCATTACCTGATGGCTGTTACTCATGTGCCAGGGAGGCTGCGGTTAGGCCCTTCCTCCCTCCCCGGCCCCCTGCCAAAGTGCCTCTGATCCTGGGCTCGGCTCCTGACCTCCCAGTTGCCTTCCGTCCTTCCTCCCTGGGCCCAGCCCTTCCTTCGCTGGGGCCTCCCTGACAACCATTTAGACCCCTCCTCCAAGTCTGGCCTCCCTGCCCGTGGCCTGGAACTAGCCAGAGGCCCGAGGCTGCACAATGACTTCCCCTGGCCGGGTGGCACACCATTGTGTGGCGGGCCCGGGGCTGGCCCGGATGCCCCTCGTAGCACAGCTGTTCAGAGCCCGGGTGATGCAGGCTGAGGCTGGGTGGAGGCGGCCCAGGCTGTTTGCAGCAAAGTCCAGCTCTCAGGAAACTGGGGGGAGGAGGGTCTCAGGGAGGTAAGCAGAGATGGCGGGGCTCAGATACAGGATTTCCCTTGGCTTTCGGCAGGCTCTTGGCAACTGAAACCCAGGCCCCCTGCTTAGAGAACCTCATCTTTTAAGACAGGGACGCAAATGATGCCTCCTCCAGAAAACCTACCCTGGCTCCTAGCTCTGAGCTCTTAGCACCCTGCTACATCCCAGCGTGTCAACTCTGCTACACGTCCTTCCTCCACCAGACTGGAGGCTACCGGAGGGCAGACCTGTGCCTGACACATCTCTGGCTTCCTAGCCTCTAGTTCAGGCCCGGCACGTAGTTGTTGGATGAATGAATGAATGGATCTCGCATGCCCTTGTCCTCTGGGAAGGCTGATCCTGTGCCAGTGAGGGCTGGCTTGAAACCAGACAGGTAATTGCAGGTGGGAATAAAAGGGAGGGTGTGCGCCTGCCAGGTTTCTCTGGACAGATCTGTGCAGGGTGGTACTTGCCCTGTGACCCCTGGTAGACTGTGGCCCCCCTTCCTGGAATCTCAGGATGGCTGGCCTGATGCTGCTCAGGGCGCTGGTTGCTCCAGGAGAGGCTGGGATAATCCTCCTGCCTCACACACCCATTCAGTGAAATCTGCCCACTGACGGAGAAGGGCCCTGCTCTGGTCACCTCTGGCATGGCCCTGCGCTCTGTCCTTGGGGACACTCGTGGCCCTGAGAGGGGTTCACTGCTGAGAGGTGAGGGTCTGGTGCTCTTTGGAGGCAAATGCCAATCACAGCAGGCATTGACTGCAGGGCTCCAGCTTGCCAGCTTCTGCCCCGTCCCCTCCCTGGCTTAGCCAGGCCAGGAGGGAATGGAGGGGGCTCTTAAGAAGGCAGTGGGGCTGCAGTGAGCTGTGACCACGCCACTGCACTCCAGCTAGCAACAGAGCAAG